CTAATAATATTTATTTGCATATATGCATATTTTTTATGAATTTAAGTTTAAAAGCTTGCCAGGTTCAAATAACACAATCTCCCTATACGTGAACATTTTAATAAGAGTTTAATTAATCGCCTCAGTTTAGATTAATTATTGTGATCAATGTATACAATGCTAACTAATTTAAAGTTGTTTAAACCAGACAGCTTTTAAACCTAAATGCATACAAATATATGCGTCTAAATGAATGCTAATTTAATCAGACTGTTCTGACTTTGTATGGAGGGGTATGGATTTCCCTAACTGTTTATTTGGGGAAGCTGTGTTCTAACACTGTGTTATAACTAACCCCACCATGTGGAGGCTGTACTTTAGCCTGGCTCAAAACTCTGTGATATTACAGTCACCATGAGGGTGATTAAAATAGTACTGGTGTGAATTCTGTGACGTATACAGCAACCGAAAAACACTTCAATACTCCAATAAGGCCCAAGGGGGCAAGGGGTGAAATGGGATTGGGCCAAAATGTCAATGTTACTTTTACAATGGCTTATTTGTGCCCCACTCTACCCCACTCTTAAAAAAGTTGGTTCTTCAAGGGTTCTTTAGTAATGGATTGGATCTATTTAGAAACATAAGTAGCGGGCATGCTTGAATCATTCTTTGTGTGGTGAAATGGTTCTTCAGATTGATGGAAAATGTGTTATATATGGTTCTATATAGGACCTTTTTGGTTCTATACAGCACCAAAAAGGGTTCTTCTATTGTGAAAAGCTTGACATTATAACAATAGAAAAACCCTTTTTGGTGCCATATAGAACCATATACAACACATTCTCCACCGATCTGAATAACCATTGACTTAACCCCTGAAGAACCCTCTTTCCCTAAGAGACATTAGACTGGTCTGTGGGATCTTCAGGGGAACAGTGAAAGTACCTGTACTACCCAATATGCAGTTTTAAATTTACAGTTTGTGAAACTTGATTTAAACTAAATGTTGCAAATATGGTGCATTTTTCACTTTACCCCCTAAGTCTTGCATGGAGTGTGTTCAGTACCCTGTGTTCAGGTCGAGTTCCTCACTTATCTGAGCAATATCATTATAGGAGAACTGCCACACTTCTGGGTATTCTTTAAGAGTTTTGAGCAGCACTTTGCAGCTTAGAAAATCATAGTCTTAACTGTCATAGATGTTTAGGAGAAAAAAGCCAGGAAAATCAGACTAAGTGGGCTGAGTACATAAACATTCTGTATCATGTAGCAACATGTGGCTCTTTTGCTGCCCTGTTGTGGGTCCACAGCAGAATCAGATTTGTAGGTAAAAATAAAATAATCCTCCTTTACAGTAAAATAAAGCTCTGCTGATCGTTCAACACAGTTTAACAATAAATGGTCTTAAACGCTGGAGTTAATGTAGAACTGCTAATTCACCCTTTAACCCTGAAGATCAGCGCAGACTGCTGGTCACCATAGCAACGCAGACAACTGTCCAAGTACCTAACGAAAAGGCAAAGACGAGCATCGATAATTTGGAGACGAATGGACTTATTTGCATTTATAATCACTCCAGTTGTTTTCCTGATACGTTTATTCTGCAATGAGAAACTATATATAGTATGTACACATGTACACACACACACACACACACACATATAGGTGGTTTCATTTTTGTTGAAAGGACAAAATGGCTCTTCTTAACATTTGGCTTGCTGACCCCTGATTTATAGGGAGAGCTCAGTATTACATCTGTTCATATTGTGTAATAATAATAATAATAATTATGAAGAATATAAGAAAATAAAGAAAATTAATGACTTGTAGTGACATGGTGTGTATGTTCTATTTATTTTAATCCCCTTCAAACTTTGAAACAACAGTAATGTCTTTCCAGCTGGGGCCTGTATTCATAGATGCATGCCAAATAGAACAGCAGATCCAGGATCATTTCCTTTGCTGCACAGATCTCCATCACTATGTGGTTAGAAAACACTGATCATCACTCCTGAATGGAAATGCATTGTGACTACCATCCTTGTAATACAGAACTAGCCATCATTTTTGTTGGGGCACGCTATGTTTATAACATGGCTAATTGTAGCAAGACCCTTTTACGTTCTGAAATATGAGGCAGAAGAGACTCTTTTAAAGTCTTTCAGCAGTAAAGACCGGCTCCAGTTCTTAGTCAGCTGATATATTGATACATGCTGACTAATTCAACACCTCCTCAGCACCCTCACTTAATTGTAACTGCTAAAAATAACAAAAAAAGATCTAAACTTGAACCTAACAGCACAAAGGAACTGCAGGAATAATACTGTGGCACTGGAATAGCACAAGTAGTGGAAGCTGCACATGCCATCTCAGCACTTCTGGCAGCAGTGTGTTCAGGAAGTGTTCCAGCCCCAACTCCTCCAGTATAGCCTTCTTGAACAGTGGCACCTGGCCCAAGTGTCGCTGGAGGGCCGCGGTCAACACCGCTGGGTCATCTTGTTCCGGTGGCCAATCCACAAGCACATGTAGTGCTTTTCCTTCCAGTGCCGGACACAAGTAAAGCTCTCAGGCACACTCACTGTTGAGGTGTGATAAGCGGATGCGCTCTGTTTCTCTCTCTCCAGGCTCCAGCTGCGCTCTGCTGCCGAGCCTTGCCGCACTTTCCTTCACTATCTTCACCAGCCGTCTCACTCTTGGCTGGCTGGACCTGCTCAGGAGAGGGCAGACATAGCGTTTGCTACCTTGCTTCCTCCAGGCAGGTGTAGTAAAACATTTTTATTTGGCACTTCCAACACACTGCAACCCACCGTCCTCGTTTACAGTTACTCGAATTATCTAGAAACTAAACCCGGTGAGGATGCCATAACACACTATTGAATACACAATACAAAATTCAGTATTTGTAAAATTACAATACAAACTCAATTTTAAAGTTTAAAGTTAGAAGTCCAGTTTAAAGGTCATCTTGAAGGAGTTAGAACAGGGAAATCATGGTGCGCATCAGGGGTTTAATGTGTCAGTGTGTCATACACGTGTCACATGTGTATATTGTTGTCTCTCGCCACATAATGGCACGTCATGATATTCTCCGTTTGATGTAAATTTTCCAAAAATTTCAAACAAAAACAGGCAAATCATTTTGCATGTCGTCACTGTTCACGTCACGTATATGCTGAGCTTCACAGAAAACAATAAAATTTGTTTAAAATTATTTTAAAAGCCCAAACTCTTGACAAAGTCTTGGCACACCAGTAGATCTGCACAGTTTTTGCGGGTTGTTTTGTGTTTTTTTTTAAATGTATCAATTAAAATCTATATACAATTAACCTAGATAAAACTGAACTATGTTTAATAAAATAAGACTTTTTAATTAAAGCTTTCCTGTGGCTCACAAAACATCATGCTGGAAGGTATACAGGCCTTTGCTGAAGTATAATGCAGGCCAGCTTGCATTATACTTCAGCAAAACCATGGCTGTGTTCAAAAGGCTCCGTATGTACTGTAAGCTTCTTACTGAACCCTGTAGTAGTGTACATGTAGTGTCCAGCATGTATATCATATAGGTTATGCCTATGGTTATGTTCTCCTGAAATGCTGGAACCTTCAGCCAGAGTAGTATGTCACCTGGGTGTCTTTGGCATACTGGAGAAATTCATGTTGGTCACATACTGCACACTACTTTTGGGCACAATCAATATTTTGAACATCTGCTGTATCTGCTTTCCTTAATTTTGCCTGATCTGGAACCTATATCTCACTAAATATGCTGGCAGAGCTGACCAGCATGTAGATCTCCATGGCTAGTGGATCAGGCAAAATCAAGGGAAGCAAATAAAGACGTTTCATTTGATTATTCGGTTTCAACCTTGCCTGTAGCAGGTTGAGCATAAATCTCAGTTAAATGTAGGATAAAGTGACATCTGGTGGTAGATGTGTGATTTTTAAATGACACATCAATTAGGTTTAGTGTCAACTGCAGGTGCGCATTAAATCACAGCTTCCAAGGTCATAACTGTAACGCCTTTAGATCAACTCTAAACCAAAGTTAAGTTGATGACAGCGCAGTTGCCACAGTGAGAGCAAGACACATAGAGACACAGACAGCAAAGTACAGCATATTGTTTTCATACGACAGAATATTACATTGTCATTTATGACATTAGGCAGATTTTATATATCCAAAATAAAATCTGTTGAGAAACGGAGCATCCGTGAATGTTTACGCACATTCAGTACAGCAGCTGATGTCCATGTGACAAGCAAAATACAAAAAGATCAATTGTATTTTTGAAATATATGTACAAGCTCATGTTCATGTATAGCTTAATGCTGAAGCCAGTCCTTGGGGTTATGAATACAACTTTTAAACTGATGTACATTCATGACCTGTACAGTGTCAGATGTATCAAAATATCAACAATTCAAACTCATAAATAATGCATGAGTAAAAAAAAATAACATACAATTTATAAAGTTTCTGCTTCTGAGTAAAAAAAATAATAATAAAAATTAAGTACACAAGACCAAATAAGCTTGTAGAGTGTTCGTCCATGATTTCAAGTGACCAAGGGAGCATCACACAAAGTAGTACCTGCATGATGAGTGTCTATGTTTTCTTATTTAACTTTTTGCTACTGTATTAAATCTTCCTCTTCATGATCTTGACCTGCAGCATGTAGACCATAGTAAAGGAGGCAACCAATATGACCCCATTCACTACGGTATTGGTGATATTTTCCCATTCTCCAGGCGATAGTCATTCACTTGTATGAGAGAAAGTGTTGTCAAGCTTTTGCTGAGAACACTACTTTAGGCAAAGTGCTTAAAGCTCTTTTCAGTCATACAAACTCACCACCATCTTGAGTGTTATTGTTCCGTTCAAGCTCCTCTGGGAAAGCTCACGTCCTCTTTCTACAGCCAGCAGGTATGTATGTGTGTGAATGAGGACTGTGAGGATCAGAGGTTGTTGTTTGAAGCGCGTTGTGCTCATCCTCCTGAGAGTGAAGGAGAATTTAGGGCCACGCTGTGATGGAGAACACAGAGGAACCTGCTTCACAGGCCGGGTAGCTCAGCCCTACCTTCTCCCACTGTGTTCCAAAATGCACCCACCACTTCCTTTGGCATGCTGATGGGGTTAATGACAAGGTCACTCTGAGCCAATCACCCGTACCTGGCGTCCATGTGTGGGACAGAGAGCCGGGGCAGAAAGACCTTGGAATGGTAGACGGTGTGTCTGGAAGTCTCCATGTAGACGGTGGTGCTGGTGAGGCTCTTGCGGTCTTTTATCAAGGACGAGCTACGCTGCCAGCGGCACAGCAGCAGCTCCACTTGCTCCCTGAAGAAGCTGGTGGTCAGTGTGTAGAGAATGGGGTTGAGGGCGCTGTTGATGGGCAAGATGAAGATCACCACCCAGGAGTTTATAGTCCCTGCATGACATGGAAAAGAGAGTTGCATTCAGAGGTAATCAATATGACAATATTTTATTCTTAATGTGGTAAATTTTTTTCCTCTGTTTTGTGTTTTGAAAAATTTGTAAGCGTCTTTGAGTTCCTGAAAAGCGATATATACGTATAATTCATTATTATTGCTATTAATATTATTATTATTATTATTATTATTATTGTGATAATATTAGTTTCTAAGCACACTGTGGGTATTGTCAGTACTTAAAGAACACTGACCAACTACGTTTCAATAAAAGAGAGCATAATTAGTCCTGTTTAATTAGATTTAGTGCAGTACAGTTTATGAATTGTTGAATAAAAAATCATTGTACCAAAGTTTTTAATGGCAAATTTTGAATAAGCGAATATTATATTAGCACTGTGTACACGAAAACATCTTTATGTGTCATGACATGATATTCTTGCCATTCTCGCCCAGCTCAACAAATTGCATTTAATAACACTGTAAGAAATTGTGTGTGGATCAGACACAGCAGTGCTGCTGGAGTTTGTAAACACTGTGTCCACTCACTGTCCACTCTATTAGACACTCCTGCCTTGTCAGTCCACCTTGTAGATGTAAAGTCAGAGACGATAGCTCATCTGCTGCTGCACAGTTTGTGTTGGTCATCCTCTAGTCCTTCATCAGTGGTCACAGGACGCTGCCCACAGGACGCTGTTGGCTGGATATTTTTGGTTGGTGGACTATTCTCAGTCCAGCAGCGACACTGAGGTGTTTAACTCCAGCAGCACTGCTGTGTCTGATCCACTCAGACCAGCACAACACACACTAACACACCACCACCACGTCAGTGTTACTGCAGTGCTGAGAATGATCCACCACCCAAATAGTACCTGCTCTGTGAGGGTCCATGGGGGTCCTGACCACTGAGGAACAGGGTAAAAGGGGGCTAACAAAGTATGCTGAGAAACAGATGGACTACAGTCTGTAACTGTAGAACTACAAAGTGCACCTATATAGTAAGTGGAGCTGATAAAATGGACAAAGAGCGTAGAAACAAGGAGGTGCTCATGTTATGCCTGATCGGTGTATAGGCCCATATTAAAAAGAAACTATTGTAATTGTATGTCTGTGTATCTAGGAATCAGCACTGACTCCTGTTTCTGGTAGCGTCTCAGCTCAAGAGAAGAAAGTGCTTCTGTTAGATACTCTGGCTTAGAGTGGCTTCTGTATGCCTCCAATGTGAAATCTGAATGTACGGCTGGGCAAGAGGATATTCCCTTTTGCAATATAACACATTAGAAGTCTCCGTGGAACTGCTTTTCAGTCCCACTCCAGCAAGATTTCATCCTGCTCCTGCTGAAAATTGGAATCATCTGTCCTGCTCCCCCATGCAACTGAAACGTTTTGGCCAGTTCCCTCCTGTGCAGTTCTGTCAAGTCAAACTGCAACTGTGATCTCCAATAATTGACATAGTCTATTCATAAATACATTATTCTCTGCTGAAATAACACTGAAGTCATGGTCATTAGGCTTACTGTGAGGTAACCGCCTGCCGTGGGCTGGTTACCTGCCCGCTTCCATGCACAACCATGAAAATTAGTCCAAGTTAGTAGGCAGTTCCCATGGGTCCAGCTGGACTCCTGCAGGAGTATAGACCTCTATAATGCATCACATGAAACATTTGAGACTGCTGACAGTCCCAGTGGCCTACTGACTGTGTCAGAAAAAGCAGAGTATTTCCCTTATGATGTATTTTTCACTTATCATTCAGACTGTTTCCTCCATTCTGCTGTGTTGAAAGTTTACTTAATGTGCCCTCTACAACTGAGTCCATTTAATTATGACTGCTTATGAATAATTATCTGCTTAACATATTCATCCTACATTTCATGCAGTAACTTCCTGAGACACTGCGTCCTCACATGAGGACATTCCATTATGACTTCCCTGTGCCATATACATTACTATTTAAGACAATTTTCAAACTGCAAGAGCTGCAAATTGTTTAGAGCCCACATTCTTAAAAAATATAGTTCTACAAGGTTCTTAAAAAATGGTTCTTTAGTAAAGACAGTCATTCTGTGTGAACCATGAACACTCAGACCCATTTACATGCATAAAAAGTTCTCTGCATGGTGAAATTGTTCTTCAGATTGGAGAATGTGGTTCTGTATAGCATCAAAAAGGGTTCTGCTATTGTTACTTTGTTGCTTGTTGATGTCAAGCTTATAACAATAGAAGAACATTTTGGTCCTATAGAGAACTCTTTTCAAAAAGGTTCTATATAGAACCACATACAACACATTCTCCATCAACCTGAAGAACCATTTCACCACGCAGAGAAATGGGGTTGCTGGAGTCCTTCTACATAGAACCATTGTCTTTACTAAAGAACCCTTGAAGAACCATCTTTATTCAGTGTGTACATTAGCAGAAACGTTGTTCTAAGTTTTAAGAGGGGAAACTGAACCTAATAAGAGTTTGTGAACTGCCTGTAGGTGAGTTAGACCAATCAGAGGCAACCAAACCTCCATGTGTTGTGACATCACAACCACAACTTAGTGGCAGTTTGACACACTGTGTTCAGGGGTCGAGCCTCAAGACAAAAAGGTGGATGTTCTGGTCTCATTGGCCAAAAAAATCAGGCCTGAATCTCAATTTAAAGATAATCGCAATTTAAATTGCAGTTGCAATATTAGTCAGGAAAAACACGATTAGATATCTTCCCCAAATCGTTCAGCCCTACTTTTACCTACTACAAAAAGAGAGGCAGCAATAACCCTAGGTTATATTAGTCCAATTCAAATGGCCATTGGTCAGTAAATAAACCTTCACATACTGTGGAAAAGGGGTTTTCACAGTTTTTCTTAAGTTTTCTTAAGTTAAACAAGCATTTACTTTTATTTTCTGTGGCTCAAACCAAGTTATAATGTACTATCCTGCCTCAAGTGACTACAACATTAAATATTAAATTACCCAAATGCCTAAACACAGACGGCATGTCACTTGTGCCACAAAAGCATTTTAGTGCAGTATTGTATTCTCTTAAGTTATTTTATATGTTTTTACATTTCTTAACTTGTTTGTCTGTTTTGGTGTGTTTCTGTCTGTCTTGGTTTGCACTGATGAGGAGTAGTACATTTAGTTTTGTTGTATATTTTATACAATGACAATAAAAACATTCTATTCTCTTCTATTTTATATATTTTAAAAAGAAGATGTAATCATGTTTTAATCACTATTTAATTTACACTCTCCTACATATTACATATTGATAAATTTTAATTTGAATTACATTTATATTATCTCATATATAAAGCACTTTAAATGACCACAGTGTATGAGAGGTGCTATATAAATAAACGTACCTCGGCATGCAGGCCTTTGTATGTTGTAGGTGAATATGAATATGAATGTGATTATGAATATGTGTAAATATACTACAAAATATGAACAGGCTACATTATTTAGAACAAACTCATGCATTATATATATATATATATATATATACATTTTTTTAAGGGTGATCTCAGAGAAGAAGCAGAAAAAGGGGCCCCTTATGTAAAGAAATGTGTGTCTGGTTTTTCCCAAGTAGAGAAATGAGGCAACATCTTTAATAAATAAATATGTAAAATTATATATATATATATATATATATATATATATATTTATATATCTAAGGTTACTCAGTTAGTTTAAGGTTAAGGTCTATCTTAAGGTTACTCAGTTAGTTTTCCATGTGCCAATTATTTAGGGTTGGGACGGCTTATTTGGTGAATTTGGGGTAGATGTCGGGAATAACTAAACAAAATCTATGCATGTATCTTGTTTCTGCTTCGTAAGGCTTTTCTTTCCTGCTTACCCAATAAACAGAATGGTCAAAAAAAAGGGGTAAACAGCAAGGCTCGAGTTTAAGAAGGCCATAACAGGATTAAATAATTCCATCTACCCACGTCATGCAACAAAGTTGCAGAAACAAATTACCTTGTGGAAATGCTAATGCACACCCATATGAAAATTAATAACAGTCAGAGTATCACAGTCAGCATGTATCAGCTCAAAACAGCTAATGATTTACATGCCTGGTATTTCCACCTCAGAAGGGAAAGCGTTTTGACCAGGAAGATTGGAATCCAGCAGAGGGCGTCAGAGAACACGATAAAGAAGAAGCGATTGGCCACAGCCACGTCTTTGTGCAGGCGGTTGCGCAGGTCTGTGGCGTTGATGCCTGTCTTGTAGATGGAGTAGAACATACTGGAGTAGCAGAAGACAATGACCAGAAACGCCAGCAGGTTCAGTCCTGTTAAGATACACACATACAAACAAACATGTAACGGAATTTTCCCTCCTTTCTAATCTCTTTGCTGATATAAACATTCAGACATTCAGTCGCTTGAGCTTGCTTAAAATGTCTCTGATGAAATAAAAATAAAAATCAAACAGAAAAAGCAAAATTTTTCATCATCTCTCTTTTAACCCTCTATTGCACAATGTTGCCTTGAGAAAAAAAACATTTTCCTCACTTAACGATAACATTATGCAAATTTAAAAAACAACGATAGGGTTAACAATAAAGGGAAGAGTCTGAGTCAATAAAAAGCATGTACTTGGTCATACTGTTTCTCAGTGGGCACTTTTAAACCTCTTTTTCAACATTCAGTATCACTTTTTCTTGTTATGAGAATTTGCAGAAATATGTTCGTTGCCTAGAAGCAACATTGTGCGACAGTGGAATGGATTTGGCCAGCCACAAGCCAGGTCTCACCACCTCAGGGAACACGGCTCTATATCAATTCTTCCCTGGCAGCATACAAACATCCAAAAGGATGCCTGCACACAAAATCAGGTCCATTTTATGCAAAGTGAATTGAATATTTATTTACTTGCTTTTAATATTAATTCTAATTAATATTATGCGCAGTAGAGAGTTTAAACTGAGAGCAGCTCAGTTGTATCAACTGTTTTCCCAACCCCAAGTAAAATTATTTTATGGCATAGTTTGCTATATATTTTAGTCAACATTTAGAAAGTGTTTTATTGCTATGGCTTATAAACAACCTAGGCCTTGAAGAGGGAATTCATTTGGACAAGTTCTGCTGCCAAAGTCAACACTCATGTTCACTTGATCCCTCACTCCTCTGAGGATCACATAACACTTCACTTGAGCTAATAAAGTAAATGAATGGCCCTTAAGATGATAAGTGGTTAGGCAAAGTTGATGAGGGTTTGGAAGTTGATGAGCAGTGCTGAAACGAGTGGCTAGAGGACCAGAGACCAGCACTGATTGCTAACTACAACCCTTTTTTCAAACGATGGGACGCTGTGCAAAATGTAAATAAAAACAAAATGCAATGATGTGCAAATCGTTTAACCCCTATATTTAATTGAAAATAGTACAAAGAAAACATATCAAATGTTGAAACTGAGAAATTTTTTGTTTTTTGAAAAATATTTGCCCATTTTGAATTTGATACCAACAACACGTTCCAAAAAAGTTGGGACGGGGGCAATAAAAGGCTGGTAGAGTTGTGTAATGCTAAAAAAAAACCGTGGTAGTTGATTGGCAACTGATCAGTAACCTGATTGGGTATAAAAGAGTTTTTCAGAAGTAAAGATGAGGAGAGGTTCACCACTCTGTGAAAGACTGCACAAGCAAATAGTGCAACAATTCAAGAATAATGTTTCTCAACATAAAATAGCAAATAACTTCTGCTTTTCATCATCTACAGTACATAATATCATTAAAAGATTCAGAGAATCTGGAGAAATCTCTGTATGCAAGGGACAAAAACCAGTATTTGCTGGCCGTGATCTTTGGGCTCTCAGGAGGCACTGCATTAAAAACAGACATGATTCTGTAGTGGAAATCACTGCATGGCCTCAGAAACACTTCTGAAAACCACTGTCTGTGAAAATAGTTCATCACTGCATCCACAAATGCAAGTTAAAACTCTAAAACACAAAGAAGAAACCAAATACAAACAGGATCCAGAAACACTGCCACCTTCTCTGGGCCCGAGCTCCATTAATGGGGACTGAGGGAAAGTGGAAAAGTGTCCTGTAGTCTGACAAATCAACATTTAAAATTATTTTTGGAAATCATGGACACTGCGTCATTCGGGCTAAAGATCACTCAGTTATGTTATCAGTGCACAGTTCAAAAGCCAGTATTCATGATGGTATAGGGGGGCATTAGTGACATGGCATGGGTGATGTGCACATCTGTGAAGGCACTATTAATGCTAAACGATATATACATGTTTTGGCAACATATGCTGCCATCCAGACCACGTCTCTTTCAGGGAAGGCCTTGATTATTTCAGCAAGACAATGTCAAACCACATTCTGTATGTATTACAGCAGCATGGCTCCGTATTAAAATAGTCCAGGTGCTAAACTGACCTGCCTGCAGTCCAGACCAGTCACCACTGATAACATTTGGCGCATAATGAAGTGTAAAATACAATCTGCAGCTGAAATCCTGTATCAAACAAAAATGGGAAAACATTTCAGTTTCTAAACTACAGCAGTGTCTCCTCAGTTCCCAAACACTTACAGAGTGCTGTTAAAGAAGAGGTGATGAAACACAGTGGTAAACAGGCCCCCGTCCCAACTTTTTTGGAACGTGTTGTTGGCATCAAATTCAAAATGGGCATATATTTTTCAAAAAACAATAAAATTTTGCAGTTTCAACATTTGATATGTTGTCTTTGTAGTATATTCATTTAAATACAGGATTTACATGATTTGCACATCATTGCATTGTATTTCTGTTTACATTCTGCACAGCATCCCAACTTATCTGGAAATGGGGTTATAACTGCTGAGTTGAATCAAGTGTTTTTTGTGCTGAGAATTCACCAACCTGAGCGAAGACCCACTAATTGGTGAACACTTTTGTTATGAAAACACCCTCCAGCATTAAGTAATACAGCTTGTGAACCATATTAGCCTTGTGTTCAAGCTGATTACAACTCCTTTCAAGTCCTTTATTTATTTTTAGAATTAACAAGAAAGCACAGAAATGAGCTGCACCCATTTTCAACCATCACACCCTTTAGCATTTGTGATGAAAAATGAATACATAGCAAAAATCACCTAGGAATATTCCTGTAGAGTATCCTTTAGCGGTGGGCTTCTCCAGCCTATCGGAGTGCAGTGGGAAGCAGACTCCGTTCCGGCCATAGTAGTTGCCAAACAGATCGTCGCTTAGCAGCGGCACAGCGGCTATGAGGAATCCTAGCAGCCAAATGGAGGCCAGCACCAGCCCCGTCTGCAGCTTCCCTGGCCGCAGGTGACTGAAGGGGAACACAATTACTAGGAACTTCTCCAGAGTCAGGTATGCCAGCAGGAGCACAGACACCTCAGAGGAGAGCATGGCCAGAAAGCCAATGGTGCGGCATTCCACACTCTCCATCCACTGCAGGGCATTCCGGTTGTACTCGCCACGAAACTTCACATCAAACACTCCCAGAAAGAAGAGGTAGACGCCCATCAGGCAGTCCGCACCTGCAGGAAGACACGATTAAAACTATAATCAGGAGTTTCTGAAGGACAGATTTACACGATCAGGCATAACATTATGACCACCTCCTTGTTTCTACACTCATTGTCCATTTTATCAGCTCCACTTACTATATAGGTGCACTTTGTAGTTCTACAGTTACAGACTGTAGTCCATCTGTTTCTCTGATACTTTGTTAGCCCCCTTTTACCCTGTTCTTCAGTGGTCAGGACCCCCATGGACCCTCACAGAGCAGGTACTATTTGGGGGGTGGATCATTCTCAGCACTGCAGTAACACTGACGTGGTGGTGGTGTGTTAGTGTGTGTTGTGCTGGTCTGAGTGGATCAGACACAGCAGTGCTGCTGGAGTTTTTAAACACTGTCCACTCACTGTCCACTCTATTAGACACTCCTACCTTGTCAGTCCACCTTGTAGATGTAAAGTCAGAGACGATAGCTCATCTGCCGCTGCACAGTTTGTGTTGGTCATCCTCTAGACCTTCATCAGTGGTCACAGGACGCTGCCCACAGGACGCTGTTGGCTGGATATTTTTGGTTGGTGGACTATTCTCAGTCCAGCAGTGACACTGAGCTGTTTAAAAGCTCCAGCAGCACTGCTGTGTCTGATCCACTCAGACCAGCACAACACACACTAACACACCACCACCACGTCAGTGTTACTGCAGTGCTGAGAATGATCCACCACCCAAATAGTACCTGCTCTGTGAGGGTCCATGGGGGTTAACATTGTATTTTCAATGCAGTGAGCTGAATCACTTCCCTTGTGCACCGTTGGCCGCTTTGGGGGCACATCATTAAAACACAGATAGTTTGTGTAGAGCTGTAGGACATTTCTGAGCCCAAAAGCTGCATAATACTGTTTTTTAAACATAAAAAAACATAACGATTTCACTTGAAGTGTGCAAATGTGGTAGTGACACAACTAGTTAGCCTGACCAACATCAATAATCTGCGTGGACGTTACTCAGCTCATTTGCATAACTCTCGTCCAGAAGGAGAGAAAGCAGAGAAGTCAGGGTCTGCATCAGTGGTTAAATGTGTCAGTTATGTGGGAATCTTCTCGACTCTCGCCACGTTATGACATGTCATAACACGCTCTGTTTGATATAAATTATAAAATAAATTCAGATAAAAAAGACAAATGGTTTTCCCTTTGTCACTGTTCGTCACGCTGCTTAAAAGTTCAGCACCCCCAACTTAAAACACCTTCCTGTGTCTGTGTACATAGATGTCAATCATATCTTTCCTCTATTTTCTATTTTTATTTTTATATTTTGATGCTGTTAAATGTGAGAGTAACAGGGTGATTGCATCCCTGCCAAATTTCTTCCCAATTAACAAACATCCTGTGTATCATTTGGTCCACTTTCACCATTGCGGTGTGAAACCAACCAAATAAGAAACATACAATATTACAAAAACTCTTATTACTGGTTTTTAGAGACGTTATTAGCTTGACATGAAATATAGTTTCAGTTACTCAGTCAGTGGCCTAGTTGTATTGTTTTGTTTTGTAAAGCTTTGCCCCACCACTTTCGGAGATGTAGTGTCACCTTTGCTGCCAGCTGAGAATCTCATTGATCCTTTCCATGAAGGCTTAACGGGGTATTATCTGTTCATTGACTGGTTCCAAAATTTAAACATCCCCTAAGGTTTAGAGCAGAATGTTATAATTACTGTGTTTTCATTTCATAAAAAATGGATGCATGTTGTTCAGTTTATATTCAGTTGACTTTAGGTGGTGATTCTTTAGAGAAGAAGGGACAGAGAATAACCTCACCATCATTTGCTTTCAAAAGTTGCACTGCAAAGTTGGACTAAGACAAAAATAAAATAACACTAATAATATTTTTGGGCTACGTATTATTCCGTGTTATTTGTTTTACAAAACATAAATCTATACAATATTATTTATTAAAATATATAATCTATAATGAATGACAGTGTATGTACAATGAACTACAAACACATTTCAGATTTTTCCCATTTCTTTTTTGATATTGTCACTGTTAGTTACCAGGCTGGCTTAAAGTTTTGAGTTAACTGGACTTCTGATAGTAAGTTAGTAGAACAAGAATTTGTATTATACGTCTATACACCTGTTATTTGAAATGTAACTCACTTAACTCAAAATGTTAGGCAACCGGGTGTTTTTGGTGTTCTGATTAACCCTTGTGTGGTGTTGGTGTGTGTGTTACTCAGTGGTCTGCTGGACCCACCACATTATTGTTTATTTAAATCAATACAGCCATAACAATTTATGTAAAAATACCAGATGTTTAAAATATCACAAGTGTCCAGTGTAGGGTTCTCCTTTAGCAGCTGTAGCCAGTCAGCAGCCTGTCCACACACACATATACAAACACACACACACACACACACACACACTAACAGCAGGCCATGTAGGAGGAGAACAGAGTGAAGGACACAGCACCTCCGCACTTTCACTCCCCGCGGGTTCACCCAACACCACATGTGTAATATAAATGTGTGGGGGGTGAACAGAGTGAAGACACTGAAAATGGGTTATTTTATATGTTCTTCACAGAAAACGAGCAAAGGCCAAAAATCTGAGGCTGAAAAAATAATAAATCATCATTTTTTCTTTTGGTAAACATTGAAAATGGGTCCCACAGACCTGAACACCACACAAGGGTTAAACAAAAAAACTAGATACCATGCTGCCTACAATTTTAGATTAGAGGCAGTTCAGAGTCACTATGGCTACAACAGGGTTTACACAGCTCAGTGAAACAGTAAGGAAGGTGAAGATTGGTATGCAGGAAACCAAACATTGAAGAGCAATGAAAAAAAGAGGCTGAGTTATTTGTGTTAAAATAATACGTTGATAAAAATAAGAGACAAGTTCTTGTTCTTTTAACCTAATGGGTTTTACAGTGTGGTGGCTGAAAAATATGAGATCACACAGTAAACTGATATGATACACTACCCAGCATCTTTTTGCCGAAATGAACAGAATATTCCAAACATCCATCAGGACACATGTATTCCAGCTACTAGGAGAGGTCAACAGCATAAGAAACAGGGAGATACACCAGCTTTTTGTCACTGCCTCAATATTTATTGGTCATCGACAGGATTCAGCATACACGACTGACAAATGTTTGATATATTCCAACTGGGATGTATAAAGTATACTGGGGGGGGCAAGGCCTCACATACTTCTTGATTTTCTATGCCAGCTGTCCGCTTTCTGCACAAATTCTGCAGACCAGTACAGACTCACTGTACTGGTTCACTGATTGTGAATTGGGGAAAAGCTCTAAGCCTCTTTTTTTCATTGCTCTTCAATGTTTGGTTTCCTGCATACCAATCTTCACCTTCCTTACTGTTTCACTGAGCTGTGTAAACCCTGTTGTAGCCATAGTGACTCTGAACGGTCTCTAATCTTGTCTTGCATTAAACCCCAAACTCATTCCATGAAACACAAAGACAAGGCTGGAAGGCTGGGAAATGTTTTGTTTTCAGACATATACTGAAGATTTGGACATGGACATGGCAAATTAGCTTGCCTGTTAGCTCCTATACATTTTTAAGGCTGGCTGCCAAATGAACTCTGGCACTTTTCACATTCTGTTATGATCTGTAGTTATGATGTGTGAACCAGCAGCTCAGCATGACCTATAATTAAGCAACGTGCTCATGCAGTAAGACAGGTGCCTAAACGTCCAACGACAAGCAGCTTCACAAGATGTGACTTCAAAGAGAAAGGCAACATTAAAGGCCTCTTAAATTCACTTTCACAGGCAGCGTTTGTGTCAAAAATGTTATTTGCTTGATCTAAAAACAATCATGAAACCTTCTGCGTTCCCATAACTGCTATACAAATCAAGTATATCACATTATCAAGTGTAACCTCTACATGAAATTGCTCTAATCTAGTTTTACAAGCTTTCCCTGATAGGTATGACTCATTTGCCAGCTGTTTCAGATTGAAACTCCCGACTACCACGCTGAGCACTTTTCCTGTGCCCTTCCAGTCAGATCAAGCTGTTAAAATCACTCCAGCAGTCACAACAAGAGGGGGAAAGGGCATTCAGTTTATGGCGCCATCACTAAGCAGCCCCAGCCTCTTTTACAGTGTCATGGATCATAGGACACTTGACATGGACTGGGTGAGGGGAAGCAGAGTGCAGGTAAATGAAAGAAATTCACTGTGTGTTTTAATACAGTGTACTCTATTCCTGCACTAGTTTCTGGACTTGTGCAGTATAAGCATAAATTGAACGCTAACATTTTGGAACTGACAAATTATCGCGCTGCACCTTACAACAAAGAATCACACCTAAATAACCTGTATATGTGGAAGGCATGAGGAAGAATGTAAGATGGTTGTAAGCACACTGTTACAAATAAAGGTTTTCTGCAGGTACATTTTTTGTTCATCAAGCTACAAACAGTGTAAATGTTTCCTCAAAGCTCCAACAGTGGTTTTAAGGTCTGATTGTGCACCTTTAATAAGTTTTTCCAGGTGAAAAGTTCGTATTTGTACTTTTTCATAACCGAATGTTTTAAAACAGAACAGTAAAATAAAAGCCTGGAGACGAGACGGGGTGTGTGGAGTCAGTACAGCTTAGAACATATCATTTCAGTGGATTATGGTTCAGTTATGTTCCCTGACTAAAGGTACTGAGATGGAGCCTTGAGGGAACCAACCCATTGACAAGAGGGCCACTGCCCCAGTGACAGTTTAGGACCTTTTTTCTGAGAGTGTACCATCAGATTTTATAACAATTAAACAAATAACTGGCAACAGACAATATTGTCAAGCAGCAAAACAAAGAGCTGTAACTGAATTAGAAAGAAGCCATAAAAACGAGGAAACACGAGAACAAGATCAGAAGCTAAAGAGACCCAAGGAAAAATAAAAGTGACGTGTCCAAACCCTCAAGGGTGCATCTCAGAGAACATGATTGTACCATAATTCACTGAAACTATATTTTCTAAGTTGTACTGACTCCACAAACCCCGTCTCGTCTCCAGGCTTTTATTTTATTGCTCTGTATTAAAACATTTGGTTATGAAAAGGTACTAATAAAAACTGATTTAAGGTGCACAGCTGGATCTTAGAACCACTGTTGTACCTTTGAGGGAACATTTATATTGTTTGGACCTTGAAGAACAAAATATGTGCCTGCACAGAACCTTTATCTCTAACAATGAAGGATGATACTAACCCTTTTCGGGTGGGAGGATGTGATTTAGTATGCTTTAATACACAAATCATAAACTTACTAACATGCCAGTACCTATAAAAATAGTGCACAGGATGATACTAAATCTGTTTTAGGGTGGGAGGATGTGATTTAGGACAGCCAGTCATAAAATTACATGTCAACCTTAGCCAGTGATGTATCAGATGTGCCTCAGGCAGACATCTTATAAACAGCGAGTGAGTTTACATGCACCCAAAAATCCGATCATAATCAGATTTCTGCAGTTATCTGATTATTCAAATGGTCATATAAACACCATACTCCGGTCTAGAAATCCGATTAGGCTGGATTTCAGCTCAGTAATCAGATTTCTCAGTGCATGCGAACTCTTACTCTGATTTCTTTCGGATTTCTCAGTCTGCGCATGTGCGAAAACAGACGGCGGTACCGGAAATAAACAAGCAGCGTCGCCGCGAGATGCAGCAAAACACTTTTGGATCGACACTGAAACCAAACATGAAATAATGGATTTAAATATTCTTCATCTTCTAGACGATGTATGTTCATATTTTCAGGTAAAGTGGTGTGAAGGTTTTTTTAATAAAAGCCGCGGTATGAAGTTTGAGTTTTACGTTACGTTTACGTCACGACTTCTGTGGATTTATCGTCTGTTTGCAAAGCAGAAATCAGATTATTGTCTGACTCATGTAGACCCAGAGTTTCACATTATCTGATTTCTCAAGTGCAAGTAAACGTGTTGTTGGGATTACTGACAAAATCTGATTTACTGCAGCTACTGGATTATTAAGTGCATATAAACACACTTACTGACAAAAATGTAAAATAGATAAATGATTAAATGAGTTGTTGAAAAAGTTGAAAAAGAATGGCAGAAAATGATGAAAGGAGAAGTAATATAAAGTCAAGTTTAATTTATATAATTACCTTTTTGGAAACTAGTACATATTAATATAGTTTTCAATCAAGCTTTTCCATTTTTTGTGCCATTACTTACATTTATTTCTCACTAAAACAGAAACATAATCATTTAATTTGTTGATTAATTTTAAAAAAAGGTTCTGCTAGTTGGTGTTCACTCATATAACTGAGCTTTCAAAGACTTCTCCAAAGATTAAGGTGTGTTGTTTTATACTAAATGTCTGGACTGCCGACCTGTCCAGGGTGTTTTCCTGCCTTACACCCAACAACTGCTGGGATAACCTCTAGCTCCCCCCTTGACCCAGAAGGATAAGCAGCTTAGAAAGTGTGTGTGTGTGTTTTATACTGGTTGCACTAAAGGTGGCTGGGAACACTAAGCAAGTACTACTAAGTTTGAGACACAGCATGTGTGGTTTGTAAACTGACCACTGATTTTGCCATGTAATGTTTTACTTCAAAGAAGTTTCTCTAAAAGCATCCGTCTGTCTTTTTCCAAGTTTCCTGAATCTCTGAAAGGCCATGCATGGTTTGCTGTTGTTCAGTTAAATATGTTTTGGTTGTTCAGCCTAATTAAAATCAAAATAATTCCGAAATTACTTGATTTTTCAATTAATCAGTAGTGACACCTCAAATACACACCAGCAAACATACACACAAACACAAACACAGGCATTCATACAAAAAATACTAAATGTTCTAATTTTAAGGTCTTTTCTTTCAAGTTTGCTCCAAATTAATCAGGACTGGACTGGTTCCCTTGGCGCCGCAGCTAATACTACCATTCATGATTGCTTTACCACTGTTGTACACTTTTCCAATCAGGCAAATTTCCATTTTCTCTGCTGTGCCTGTGTGGAAATAAACAGAACGCCACTTCCAATTTGTCCATGCTAACTGACTGCAATGCAATGGTTGCAATAGCAGCATAAACAGCTTAGTAATAAGGTAACCAAGTGCTTCTGTGCACATGCATGATCTGAATGTGTGTACGGGTAAACTCACAGCACAGGACTTTGATGCAAACTGCATGCAGGTTGTTCTCTGCGCGAATACACGACCGCATTCCGATCACAAAGAGGTTTCCGAAGCAGGTGATGAAGGCCATGACCCACACAGACACTCTCAGCACCATGTTGGCCAGCAGGTCCTCAAACGAAGAGATCCCATCTGTGTTGGGCTTGCACTTCCGGACGTGGGGCGCATAGGAACAGTACTGGAAATCCTTAAAGTATCTGGAAAACATTAGGGGAGGGAATGACCCCACAATATGATGTCATCATGAAATTTGCATCAAATACAATTCTAATTGAGATTGTTAAAGTTTTGTGATATACTAGGTACTGAGATATATATGATTTATTGCTTCTGGATTATATTATCATGTTACTTGAGCCATGAAACAGTTCCATAATGAGATTTGTTGTGATATATTGTGATACATGCAAGTTATTCCTTCTAAGATTATTTTATTTTTGTAGTAGACAAACACTGACTGACTTTTAAACTGACTTTTTCTTTACATGTTTAATAAATGCTTTTATCTAGAAAAATTGAAAACGACAGATTATTGTTTATATTGTTTTGTCTGGTGACTCTTATATAAGTATATTATATTGGTGTTTCTGTTTCCTGAAGTGGGATTGAACAGCGTTTGCCTGTGTGCAGGGCAAATGTTGTCCACTACACTATCCAACCTTAACAGTGACTTTACTGACAGAATCCATGGTCACCAGAAAGAAATAGTGGCATCTTGTGGGAGAGAGAATATTCCGAATTAAATAATTAAATGTTGCTACTTGGACGTTTATCAACCCTATTTTTAAAAACAAAATACAATGAAGTCATTCTGTACTGATTTTCTCTCTCCTTGTTATGCACTATATTATCCATCCAGCACTGACAGTGAGTAGCCATAGTCATTTCTACCATCGAGCTCACTGAAAATATAAGAAACTCCTTATTGATACCACGTTTGAGTGAGCAGTGGCGTAACTAGGGGCTTATGGGCCCCAGTGCAAAAAAGAGAGTGCAGTCAGGCAGGTAACGTTCTCCTGCATGCAAGTTATTCCTCCTCAGATTATTTTTTATTTAGACATTCAAAGCCAGGAGAGAGATCAGTTTAGTGTCATATAAGCGCAAAATTAACTGCCAACAACTATGCTAACTTGTGTTTGTGTAAAGACCAGTACTGCCCATTAGGCACCCACAACACCCCATAACATTAAAACACCATAAAATGTAAATGTGTAATTTACCTATTAAAACATTTATTTTAAAACATTAAGTAAAGCCCACAGTGGGCTCCAAAAGTCTGAGACCACGTATGCAATCTTTTCTAATTTAATTACATTTTTTTTCATAACAAATTATATTATAAGCATAACAATTTGAGCAAAAAAGCAGAATCTTACCAAATTGGAACAGAAATTTCAGAATGTCCGTTTTGTAGATTTAGTAGACAAATTTAGTAGATTTAGTAGACAAATTTACCTGAGAGTCACCTGAACACAAGCTTCAGTGGAAGAGATAAAACCAAAAAAACCTGACCTTTTCATAAAAAGAACTTATCGTGGTCAATGTCACATATTTGCTTAATCTGAATAGTGCCCAAACAAATACTGCAGAATCTTTCATTCTTCTTCTTGATTTTAATTGATTTAAAACTGTCCGTTGATTATTTCCAGATATAAATGAAAAACATTCCAATTTTTATTGTGGTCTCAGACTTTTGGATTCCACTGTAGTTTTTTTCTGTACTTTTTCCACTCCCGCCTATTAATCTACCAGTGGATTTAATACACGCTGAAAATATTATTAGGTAAACAATAAAACATATCTGTGTTCCCTCCTCAGACATGGAGGGACATTATTGAGGCTGACTGACAGAAACAAAGAGCATGCAACCCACAATTACCATAACAGGAGGACATGCCGTACGTACATATGAGACAGATTGCCCATTGGGAGGAACATCTTAGTTTGGATATCTGGAATCTCAATGCCTTCTAGTCCTCTAAGAAATACAAAGACATTTATAATCAATGACAGTTAATGCGGTGGCTATATTTTTCCAAAAGCACATTTTGTGGTTTTTGCTTACTCACAGAGACTCGAGCTGAACCAAATGATCAAAGTGACCAGCGTGAATGTGAAGCAAAGGGTTGTGAGATATATTTCTGAAAAGACAGTTCATCATCACGGCATTATAAAATTAGTATGTTTAACCCTTAGGAGAGGGGCGGCACGGTGGCGCAGTGGGTAACGCTGTCGCTACCGCTACCTGTGCGCTGTCACAGCAAAATGGCCTGGGTTCGATTCCCGGCTGGGTGACCAGGGTCGTTTCTGTGTGGAGTTTGCCTGTTCTCCCCGTGTCTGCGTGGGTTTCCTCCGGGTACTCCGGTTTCCTCCCACAGTCCAAAAACATGCAGGCAGGCTGATTGGACATGCTAAAATTGCCCCTAGGTGTGAATGTGTATGTCTGTCTGTCTGCCCTGCGATAGACTGGCGACCTGTCCAGGGTGTATCCTGCCTTCCGCCCAATGACAGCTGGGATAGGCTCCAGCACCCCACTGCGACCCAGAAGGATAAGCGGTTTAGACGATGGATGGATGGATGGAACCCTTAGAAGAGCCAGTGATACCAAATGTATGCTGTAACTTCATCTGTGTTATTTCTACCAGTGACCTCACTGAAAATAGAAGAAACTACTTACTGATACCATGTTTGTGTGAGCAGTGGCGTAACTATGGGGCTTATGGGCCCCAACGCAAAAAAGAGAGAACAGTCTCCTGGCGTTCACCAAACCCAGACTCATCCATCACAATACTCCACAGAATACGTTTCCACAGCTCCAGTGGATGCTTGGCATTGTGCATTTTGATCTTAGGCTTGTGTGCAGCTGCTCAGACATGGAAATGTGTCTCGTGAAGCTCCTAATGCGCAGTTCTTTTGCTGATGTTGCTTCCAGAGGCAATTTGGAGCTCTTTACTGATGATTTAACAGAGGATAGACTCTTCAAAACTCAGTGGCCCCACTGACTGCTCCGAGACGCTTCCATTTCACGGTAATAGCACTTACAGTTGACAGGAGCAGATCTAGCAGGACAGCAATGTCACAAACCGACTGACAGAGGTGGCGTCCTATAACAGTGCCATGTTTAAGTCACAGCTCTTCAGTACGACTCTCTACTGCCAGTGTTTGTATATTGAGACTGCAAGGCTGTGTGCTTCTTTTAATCCACCTATTAGTAATGGGTGTGGCTGAAACACCTGAACTGAATAACTAAAAGGGGTGTCCCAATACTTTTGTTCTTATAGTGTATTTTTAGATGTTTTATTCAATATTTCAAGAATTTTGAATTACTATATTCTGTGATTTATATATTATATATTTTTTGTACAATATATTTTGTCAAATTATTAAGCTCTATCAACCCCTCAACAAGATCCGATCACTTTTTAAATATGAGACATTTTGAATATTAATTTTTTTGGAACTTTCACAATCATTTCAGAATCATATCTGCTCATCTTTCTAGATACATCTCAAAATTCGTACTTTTTACATCTTCCTACGGAGCCCCACCGATGACATCCTGTATAAATAAAAATAATGCATGGCCACGACTTACTAAATGGGGGGAACAAGATCATAATGCGTGGCTACAATTTAGTAAGGTGTGGGAACGAGATCATAATATGTGCCCATGACTTAGTAAGGCATGGGAACAAGATCCTAATGTGTGCCCATGACTTAGTAAGGCGTGGGAACAAGATCCTAATGTGTGGCTACAATTTAGTAAGGCGTGGGAACAAGATCCTAATGCGTGGCCACGACACAGTAAGGCGTGGGAACAAGATCCTAATGCGTGGCCACAACTTAGTAAGGTGTGGGAACGAGATCGTAATGTGTGGCCACAATTTAGTAAGGTGTGGGGACAAGATCCTAATGTGTGGCCATGACTTAGTTAGACATGGGAAGGAGATACTATTGTGTGGCCACAATTTAGTAAGGCATAGGTACAAGATCCTAATGTGTGGCCATGACTTAGTAAGGCGTGGAAACGAGAGCCTAATGTGTGGCCACTACTTAGTAAAGCATGGGAACAAGATCTTAACGTGAGGCCACAATTTAGTAAGCCGTGGGAACGAGATCCTAATGCATAGTCACAACTTAGTAAGGCGTGATCTCGTTTCCATGCCTTACTAAATTGTGGCCATGCATTATTTTTATTTATATGGGATGTCACCAGCAGGGCTCCGTATCTTTCTACTAATTACTTGAAATTCTTTGAAATTGCACACAACTGGGACACAAATTAATTGAAACTTTTATCTGAAATCAAGCTGGTTTTATATTGTTGGAAACAGTGAGTGCGTTTACATGCGTTCACACTCAGTAATCCGATCATAATTGGATTTCTGCAGTTATCCAATTATTCAAACAGTCATGTAAACACCATACTCCGATCTAGAAATCTGATTACGAAATCTGATAAAGAGGCTGGATTTTAGCTCAGTAATCAGATTTCTTAGTGCATGTGAACTCTTACTCTGATTGCTTTCAGATTTCTCAGTCTGTGCAGACGCCGGTACTTAATAAAAGCAAGCGGCGTCACTGTGAGACACAGCAAAACACTGTTGGAGCGGCACTGAAACCAAATACAAAATGAAGGATTTAAATATTCTTCACCTTCTAGATGATGTATGTTCATATTTTCAGGTAAAGTGGCGCAATGTTTAAAAAAAATCGCGGCATGAAATTTGAGTTTTATGTTACGTTTACGTCTCGTCTTCTTCTGAGAGTTTATTGGCTGGTTGTAAAGCACAAATCTGATTACTATCTGACTCATGTAGACCTGGAGTTTCACATTATCTGATTACTCAAGAGCATGTAAACATGTATGTAAACGGATTACTGACAAAATCTGATTTTCTGCAGTTACTAGATGATTAAGTGCATATAAACGCACTCACTGATTCCAAACTTTTGAACAGTGGGGCATATTTAAAAATAATATAGCAAAACACGACAACTCCACATTTCTACGAGTTAAACTGTATTTACAAACATTTGGTACCTCTAGTACAACACAAAGACAGCTACTCACAGTTTCAGCAGTGACTTTAGACTCTTGAAAATGTTGCTCGGGAGGTCAGTGATCCTGTTGCAAGACAGATCACTACAACACAAAAACCAGGAGAGAAAGTCAGGAAATGAGGTAAAGAGAAGGAAAGCTGCAGGAAGTTAGTCAACAAGCAAAACTGAAGTGGGGGGGGGGCAAAATGCAGACCCACTAATGTGTGGAACAAAATGTGTCGCTTTAAACTCAAATCCACTCGAGCCTGTAATACTCACAGCTCTGCCAGTGATCCGAGCGACTGAAACATGTTTTCTGGAAGCGTCTTGATTTTATTGTCACGCAACGACCTGAAGGTGGGAAAGTTATATAGTGAGCTGTGACTAATGAGAACATAACAACATTGTCTCTGCATCTGTGATGATCCTTTTTCTTTCAAGTCCAAAAAACATGAACATGTGGTGTACTGAACAGCTTGGTTTGATTTTTCGTATTCCTCGGTTTATTTTCTTGGAGGGGACAGGATGACCCAAAGCCCACACAAGACGTCCTTTCATTTCTTTCACCGGGGCGGGACTGTGTCACGCCTGGCAGAATACTCTCCCCCCTGCAGCTACTGATGAACTAATCTCGTTTGACAGGAGAAGAGAGCCTAGAACGCCTTATCTTGTTCGCCTGCTTCTCCCTGTGTTCAGACAAAAGTGGAGACTCAGGCAAGTTCTTGTTTATATTTCACCAGAACAGAAAGGGTAACAGTTTAAATTAAAACAGTAAGTTAACCTGGTTGAATTAAGATTTTGTTAAACTTCAAATTACCAGTTTATCACCAATTACTGTCCTGTTAACTCACTTTTAGAAGTTCAACTACAGAAACAGTGTAAATTTGAAATCTTATATAATTAGCCATCATAACGACTTCAGTTAGTATTGAACTTAGGACAGTTGCTATTACAGAGCTCATTATCTCATTCTTACTCCAGAGAAGTGAAGAGTATTACAGAACATATATATATATATATATATATATATATATATATATCGCTGCTGTTGGAAGAAACCCTCAAAAAACCCCAAAACGACTTGGAAAAAAGTCTGGTTCCATTGACTTACATTCAAAGTAAAGTATGTTTTTTCCTTCTCCTGTTATCATTTTAGAGGTACAAGGTTTTGGTCCAACAATAGCGATATATAAATGTTGCATTGGGTTCAGCCAGACACGTCAACGGCGTCGTCTTTTTAGGGAAATAGAGCTGCCAGACTGCATTCAGCACAAATACAGATTGGCATTTTAAGAAAAGTACCATTGAAAATTATATTATTTAAAGAGCATGGTACTCAGAGCACGGGACAGGATTATACAACAAGGAGAACGCAGTGATTGACACTCATGCTTGTCCTTTGTGTATGTACAGATATGGCCACAGGGTTCCTCTGGTTTTATATGAAGCTTATTTTATTTAATAACCTATACAGAGTATCTTTACTTAATGTAAAGTAATTACACTAATTTTTTTACACTGAGTGCTAGTGCTGAGCAAACGTGCATTGTAGATACAGCAATAATCCATCTGGAATATTCACATCAGATCAGCACCTTCTTACTGTGTTTTGGTGGTTTGTTGCCACACATAAAGATTAGAAGTGATTCTCACATTTTTAGATTTGCTGACATGTGTGATAATATTGTGTTTCTATCATGGCTCATGCTAGACTCGTACCAGTGTTTATCATCAGGTGCAGACCGAATTACTTTTTCAGTTGTTCTGCACAGCTAACAAGCACATTCAGCTATTAAACAAAAAAGACACAGAGAACAAACCACTTTTACAGTGTAATTAGTTACCATAACAACTTCAGTTAGTATTGAACTTAGGACAGCCACTATTACACCTTTATTTTGACAGCTTGCAGATATCCGTGCCCAGCAGATCCTTTTATGTGGAGGTGTCAGACATCCTAACCAGTATCTGCAAACTATTAAAATAAATAATTCTGCTTTGCACTTTGAGATAATTTTCTATAACACTCAAATTGAGCTCTAGCATTAAGCAGTAAATACACCTGTATGTATTTTTATAACAGCTAATTTAACAATAATGTTCAGATTTTTAAAATCTACATCATAAACATGTGTGAAACACACGTGACTTCTGTAAGGGTTTTCACATCACCATTTTTTTGTCATGTGATCACAATTTTTTTCATGTTATCAAACATTTTTTTACACTTATATGACAGGTTTCATGTGTATTTTAAGTTAAGTGACCCTTATTAGTCTCACAACATGGAAATTTCACCTCTACGTTTTGACCCATCCATCATACACACTAGGGGGCAGTGAGCACCCTTGCCCAGAGTGGTGGGCAGCCCTACCCACAGCCACAGAGCAGTTGGGGGTTAGGTGCCTTGCTCAAGGGCACTTCAGTCACGTACTGGTGGCTCAAGAGACAGTAGCCTTGTGACCTTCCAGTTCCCTAACCTCTAGCCCACGACTGCCTGCCCAGGCAAACACCTTTTCAGGCAGACGCCTTCTGTCTAAATCCCCCTCGTTATCTGTGTGTGTTAATGTTGGTACGAACCTGCCAATTAAAGCACTGCAGTGATGGCAGTGAATAATGAGGAGACAGGTTTGAACATGTGGCTGTTTATCAAGAAAAACAGAGTGGCTTTGGCAAACAGACACTGAAACTGCAGAGCAGCGACCCATTAAGCAGCGAAGTAGGTATTTTAACTTTTTCAATCAAAGTGCCTAAAACTTCATCACACTTTGGTTTTGTTTTTATTAATTTTTTTATTTTACGTAAATAGCTGTCTATCTGTATGGATAGCTGTCAACATTTTTAATTTTTGTTAATTCAATTTCAGCTGTGTGCATATTATCAGTTGCCTGGTAACAAGCATGACAATTCATTATCGACATCAATTGCATGAATTATTACCCCCTTAACTTGAGATAGGATAAGCTGTTGTAAGGTAGGATATATCTCGTGCCATTATGTGCAGTTATATGTTTTAAGCTTCTGTAACATGAATTTATTAAAAAATCATATCGAACTTAGGACAGGGCTTTTTATAAACCTTTTAAGTTAAAACAATAAACAGTTTTTTTACAGTTCACAAGTTGTTTAAACTTTGTAAAAATGGTGAACATTCTTTTAGATATTCAAATAAACCCATTTTTTATACTTTTATATCTTATTTTATGTCTTATATGTTGACTTAAATTGTTCTACACTGAAAAAAATGCTTAAAACCATTTCAGAACCGAGTCAGAACAAATCAGACACTTTTGGATAAAAAAGTTTTGAGGTTTTAATGAAAAAAGCAAGATCCAAACTCATAGTGATTAAACAGCCAAAGGGCAAAACTGAGAGAGAGGCGAAAACAATCCAAAAGGGACATTTCAAAACAGGTTTTGAACGAATCAGGCCAAAAACACAGCACAACAGGCCATCAAACTACACTCAGTACGCTCAGGGACACTGGGACACTTTGCCAGGAAGTAAGACCAAACAAACACTATATATAGGGCTAGACAGAGGGGATGGGAATCAGTAATCGGGCGAAACTGATCTGGGATAGGCTGATGACTGAGAGTTCTGAGTCATGTGACCCAGCAGAGTCAGGGGGTGTGTGGGGGTGGGGGGGGGGGCGTGACATTTTTATTCAAATAAATACTTTAAATGAAACAATGCGGAACAGAATAAATAGGTTAGGTTAACAAAAGCAATACTTTATATCAATTCAAACCTCAAAAGCAAAACCTCCTTATCAGCTCCTGCCTTGTTCCACTTTCTACAGTGTATTAAATGCTAGTAGAGATACTAGCACATTTAAAAACTGGAGCTGGTGGCTCAGAGATTTGTACCCTGTGTACTCACTTTTAGGTTGTTACTAGAGGGTTGTTTAAGAAATATCCATGAAAATTCATATACTTTCTTTTCTTCTCACATGATGCAGTTGAAGCATAGACTGCAGCAGAGATGGTAGTGAATGCACTCCTCCAGGCTCAAATCGTCAATGTTTGTTTAGGTATCTGGACATTTTAACCACTGTGCCATCACCATGAGTGTGTTTACATGCACTCAACAAGCCGATCATAATCTGATTTCTGCAGTTATCCGATTATTCAAATGGTCATGCAAACACCATACTCTGATCTAGAAATCCGATTAAGAAATCTGATAAAGAGGCTGGATTTTAGCTCAGTAATCAGATTTCTCAGTGCATGTAAACTCTTACTCTGATTTCTTTCGGATTTCTCAGTCTGCGGATGTGCGGAACAGACTGCTATACCGGAAAATAAGCAAGCGGTGTTGCCGACTATGTTCTCAACGAAATGAAGGATTTAAATATTCTTCATCTTCTAGATGATGTATGTAATATTTTCAGTTGAAGTGGCAAGATATATATTCTTCTGTGAGTTTACTGGCTGGTTACAAAGCAGAAATCCGATTATTGTCTGACTCATGCAGACTCGGAGTTTCCCCATTATCTAATTACTCAAGTGTAAACGCGTTGATCATGTTACTGACAAAATCTGATTTTCCGCAGTTATCAGATTATTAAATGCATGTAAACACACTCAGTGCCTCCCTTCACACCATTTCAAGCTTATACTGGTCTTACTTTCATCACAGCAGTTCAGTGTAAAAAGTGAAAACTAATTGCAAAAATTTGTGCCCAAAATAGAAAATATTTTTGCCATATGATTGTTGTGTTATTAAATAGCACAAGAGCAGCAACCAATTAAGTACGTTTGTTTAATTATTTAATACTCTGAATTATGATTTTTTTTTCACATGCATGATTTAAATATCTGCTGGCTGGAGTGACTTACTTAGAAAGTCAACAAAACACAATGAAACGTAATTAAACATGACTGTTTACAGGGAAACTGCCCAGTGATAGTGGCAGTACAGTGCAAAGAGATGCGACTGGCATGTTTGTTTTGTGGTATGCCAGAATGTAATCTTTGCCAGTTGGTTATTAGGAGAAACTACCAGAGGATTTAACAAACATGAGACCTAAAATGAAGCCTGTTAATAACACAATTCCATGAGGAAAAAGAAGTTTTTCAATTAATCTTTTGTAGAATCCGCTGGGGATGACTGAAAAATACGAGTGCATTGGAGATAAATCCATAAGCTGTCCCAGCTCCAAGTTTTCAGCAGGACCGGGACCAAAAGATCTAGCTGGGAGACAAAAGGTGACGTTGGCAAAAAGAGTTTAATTAAAAATGCAAATGAAGACTTGACTCTTTTTATTAAGGCACTTTTTTACAGACTGAATACTCAACTGATTATTCAAAATGGGTACTGAGTATTGGTGAGTATTATGGAGCTGATGT